AAGTCTTCTTTTAGTTGCATTTTAATGGATAAGTATATAACTCATCAAAATTAATACACTTTAATTATTTAGAAAATATATAAAATTCTGTGTATTTATATATTTATTGATTATTTATTTAATATTTTTAGAAGTGTGTTAATTATTATTTAATTAATCTTAAAAGATGATATCATTTGTTTGTATTAATAGATAACCGATATGTATGTAATCACATTAAATTTATTTAAAGTTATTTGAAAAGTTCTGGGTTTGTCCTCTTTATCAATACTTTATAAATCATTAAACAATAGATTTGATTCATTTTTAAAATTATTGATTTTATAATCACTATGAGGTCAGTTTCTACAGTAATATCTGATAATTGCTATTAGTTCATTTAGAATATTCTACATATAAATTTATATATTTGTATATTCTGTTGTAATGTATTGCATAAATAGTTATATAAAAAAATTCAAATCCATATGTAAAATCTCTTGACACTTGCATTTAACTCTTATATTTAATGCATGAAATTAGCAACCAGTAACCACTGGTCTTTTTCACAAAAGTAAATATGTTTTAAAATTAATTCATATTACTTATTAGTTAATCACTATTAGTAAAATAGTTATGAGATAAAAAAATATTGAATGCTTAAAGCTTTAAAATTTTATTAAAGAATATTTTAGTATTTTAAAACTCTAATGAATTTTAAATTACATAAACGGGAATTTTGAATTCAACAAATTATACATTAATAGAAATTACAAAACGTTGTTTAAATGGGAATGGGCAAATTGGAGGCCACAGCCAGGGCACCCAACTCTCCCAATCTGTCCAACTCGTTGTCAAACATCTTGAGATTAGCGCATCCCTGGGGTGTCGAGAGATCCAGGTTTTCGGAGCACTGCTTACCAGTGGCGTAGAGTTGTTGATAGAGAGCCCCAATCTATACATCCATACAATTATTAATATTTTCTATAATAATACAAAATACTTTCAACTATCATACCTGGCTCACAACTGATGCCATCGGGGGAGTGACACCCTTGAGGAGAGTACCGCCGGCACCCATCACGGTGTTCAAAATGGGCAACTTGACATCGAACTCAGCCAGGGCACCTCCGTGTTGCTCCAAGAAGTTGCAGCTAATGGTGTCGTTGATGTGTTTGGCGCGGTATTGCTCGTCGCAGATAATCAATTGAGTCATTTGTGCGATCTCTTTGGTGGCCTCGGCCTTCTGGTCGTCGCTGGTGGCGGTGCTCAGCACCTGTGGCTCACCGGTGGGGCCCATGATGTTGAGGACTCCCGGGCCGTAGTTGTTGTTGAAGTTTGCGTAGCAGACGAGTCCCTGTTGTTGGGCGGCGTCGGCCCGCTTCTGGACCATAGCCGAGGCGGTCACCAGATTTTGTTGCGTCAAATCAAACAACTGTTGGGATGTGAGGCCATTCAGGGCAGCGCTGCCGGCTTTGGCGCATGCGATGAACACCTGATCCTCAGCCAAAGTTGCCGCCGCAGAGGCTACCGTTCCCATGCATTCAGAGATAGATTATTAGTCTTTGGGTATTTTTTGATTAAATAATCAATTCTTACCATAAGTTAGAGCAGTCGTCAAAACAATGATTTGAGAAAACATTTTGAAGATTTCAATTGAATTAACTATTGAATGTGAATTTCATCTAGGAATATGTTTGGTTTATATAAGTGCTTGAGTTATGCATTAAATATTATAAAAGTACATTTGTGCAATTTGTTATATAAATTTATTTTAAACAAATGGTATGAATATATTGATTGTTTTGATCTGACAGAGTTTTAAACGAAATNGTTATATAAATTTATTTTAAACAAATGGTATGAATATATTGATTGTTTTGATCTGACAGAGTTTTAAACGAAATGAACATTTTGTGAAATGTATTGAATTATGTTATTTCAATTGTTTTATGATTAATACGAATATACAAATAGATTTGTTTTAGTGGTATAGTACTCAGTATTTATTCCTGGTTTAAAGTTATAAATCATTATTCCAAGTTCACTATTAATGTTGCACAATTTTAAATGGGTGCATTTTTGTATTACGTTAACATGTGTTTAAAAAATTATTTTTATCATATTCAGTTTAATTTCAGTTTAATTTCAGTGAATTTTTTAGTGTAACTTTTTTAAGATTCATTTAAAAATAACTTCCGTTTAATTTATTTAGTGTTCAATAAGTAATGCATATACAACCTAGTTATATTTGTGTGTGAAATATCTATTATAATTTATAAAGTATTGGTCGTTTAAAACATCTTACTCTACTTTATTATTTTAAAAGTTAAGTCACTGTAAACGAGTATCCAATTTGATTAAGATTCACACATTAATCCATTTATTTTTCATCATATTTTTATTCAATATGCTTTTTCTAATTTATTTATTGATAATCTGTAATGACTTTTGATTGCAAATCTCTTGCATTAAAGGCATACAATCGCAATCAGTTTCCATCCAATTGAACGCAATCTTGTCCTCCAAAACAGTCAAATCTAT